AGTGCCATAGCCCTAAAACTGTTTTTCAACAGTGTGGAATGATAATTGTGGACTGATTTTCTTTTAACAAGCAGATAGAACAGTATCAGAACTGTGACCCTGAAAAATATGTACCTAAGACCAAGTGATGGACATTGCACCTTCCAGGGAAAGGTATGGGTTACTGTGCCGTCCTTCCTGCTTCCTGCCCAAAAGCCATATTATCTGTTAGTGCCAGCATGGAGTCCAAGACAGTATCAGAAGGCCCATCCACCTTCTGAAGCCGTGCTATGATCATGACACCACCCTTAAAAGTGATACCATTCTATCTATGAAGAAACACTTCTTACCAGAGAATTCTCTTGCAGTGAAGACTGGAAGATCAAGAATGATGTTGTCTCTCACATGAGCAATAAATATAACAAAATCTCTTATCTAGTAACCAGGGTGAATAAAGGAGTTGCCATTAATATGAATCTAAGTATGCTTTGCTTGGGAGGCAGGGATCATAATGCATTGGTTACTGAGTAGTTCTATGAGTATGCAGAATCTGGAAAAATGTTAAAAGAACTATGATTATAGTAAAAGCTCACCTTGATCTCTGCCTAGACCTTTGATTCCTCTTACCTCCTATTGCTGTATCACAAAATTGCACATTCCAGCAACTTTCCAACAGTTTTAATTTAAATAAGGAAGCTATCAGCTGGCAGGAGGTTGCTTCTAAAATTGGTAATCATTTATAGACATGATAGGCAAACAAAAGTTAAGTAATTTTCTTAATGCCTTCCGTTTGCTTTTATTTTGTCTAAGCCTTCCACTTTCATCCACGACATCTATGCATAAAGCTGTATTTAAAGTCTGGATCATATATTAGTAAACTGAGCAAACAAAACCAAACTGAAATACATAGATCTTAGAGAAGAAAAAAGCCCCAACAAACAAACAAAAAATATGGACTTGTGCCAAACTCCAAACAGCTATGGAATTTTATTTAAATATAGTTTAGGAGATTAAAATGACAAAGGATAGTGTGCAGTTTACGAAAAGATGTGTAAAAAGTATCAGCATAGAAACTTGTTTGTGAAAATCAGGATATCTTTTGGAACTTTGGCACAAATTTGTGTAATGCAGATCTTTCATAGAAAAACATTGAAAACTTCATTAGTATGGGAAAGAAATGGAGATAAATTTAAAAAATAAAAAGAAGCTTTGCAGAAAATAATCTGGACTCTAAGATAGGTACCCATCTGTTATTTAAGATAAGACAAACGCTCCCACAATCTATTCAGTGAAGCAATTGTTAAGGAAAAAAAAAGTTATTTTTTTGTGAAAAGAAAATACTTAAAAGGATCTTTTTACAATCCTTAAAGAAACAGAAGGGTGTTTTATTTTCCAGTTATTAGTCCATGTCTGTCAGAGCTGAAACATTTTGATGAATTCAGTGATGTAATTTTAGCAGTGACTTCAACTAAAAAGATATTTAAACTTTTTAGACACAAGGCAGAATGTTAGTGTTGGAGTTTTCTTTCAAAATATGCTTTTTCTTTTACTCCGTTTTATTTAAATTATAGTTGCTTGGTTCCCTCCCTTCTTATGAATGCTGAAATGACATGTATCTTCCAATAAAGGCTGTCAGAACCTGTAAAATTTGTATCCTGACTCTCTGTCTCCGGTAATTGTATTAAAAGTGAGGTGAAACCGAGCATTAAAAAAATCCTAAAAACAAATAGTCACATTCCTGCAAACTTACTGGCAAATTCTGCAGGAATGTGACTTTTCCTAAGAGGCAAAATGTGGAATTGTCAATAATCACAAGGCTGAAATAGTCTTTTTCCATATCTGCCTCAAATTGAATTAGCTTTTTCCAAATATTTTTCCTTTTGGAAATTATTTCTTTTGAAAATATTTGGGTTTTTACTTTCTTATACCTATAGATAAAATTATAAGAATAATACTAAAAAAAAAAACCAAAACAATTTTATTTTTTTTCATTTATTCGTTGTTATACCACTTGATTAATTATTAACAGGAGTCATAGTTTTTACTGCAGACACATTTCACATTATTTTCTCAAGTGCCTTGCTTTCTACTTATTGATTAGACATTCATGACAACATGTTTCATTCTCTCGAAACTATTCCTTACACTTCAGCCTCTCCTCCTGCTTCAATCCAAATTATATTTATCATATTTACACTGCACCTACAGTCTAATTTACAGTCTAGAAAATGCATCTGTGTCTTATTCCTGACAAGGGTCATATTTTTCAAGTGCCTCATCCGCTTCCTGAACCAAAACAAACCAATGTATACAGTTTTGCAAAAATGGGTGAGGCTTTCATGCTTATTTACCTGCTTGAAAGTCTAGGGATTTGCATTAATTACCCCCCAGCTTTGATAAAACAGCCTTTCCCTGAATTCATGCATCCATAATGCTGTGCCTCTCAGTGTTATTGTCTTTGAAGTTTCCATGCTTCCAAAGACTTTTATTTGTCACAAGTGGAAATGAGCCTGTACTGATGGGGCCAGTTGCAGTGGAACAACTCCATCAGTGGAAAATTTACTCCTTGATATTTAAAATATTAGCAACAATTGTCTGTCATATAGATTTAATCACAGTATATTGTAAATAATAAACTACAGGAGAAGGATGAATAGCTGAAAGGGACTTCAAAAGTGGAAAAGCAAGAACTCTTGTATGATCTTTATGGTTTATTATGTTTTGCCTGGAGAACAAATATAGGTAATCATTCAAAAAAAAAGTTTTCTTTTCAGAGCAAAAGAGGTTTTTTGCAAGTGTTTTAGGTATTACTACAGTTTATAACAAGGTGTTCGAGAGTATCATTCATGAATGACTAGTAGATAAGAAGGTAGTTCAAACATACAATGTAGCTCATGAATAATGCAATGCAGGAATGTCACAGCTTTAAAAGCCTTGTGAAGCTCGGATCCTACTGGCCAAATCAATCTATCTGGTGCTCAGTATGTTCTAAAGACACTCTTAAGAAACTCAGATATGAAATCTCTGAATATGTTATGCATCATAGTCATAGAATCATCAAAGACTCAATTATGAATCTCTGAATCTCAGATATGGATCTGAATTGATATGAATCTTGGATATTAATCTCCAATCTGAATTAGTACATTAAACCAATATATGGTTCAAATCATCCTTGGTATCAAAGAAAAGGGAGGTGACTTTTATTACATGTTTTTAAAGATAACTTTTTAGACCATCGTCATGTCTTGGTGCAAACAGTGAAAACAAATAGTGTGTACATGAATAAACCTGAAGTATTAAAGAAAAACACATGCTGTTTTTATGCATACCTTGTAGATTCATTAAAGAATAAATAAGATTGTGGAAACAGATGCTTGTAAAAATCTTTCAGAAAGATCTCATACCAATTTCTCCTAAAAAGATAAAATTCCGGGGAGCTGCTGTGGTTCAGCCCCAGACAGCATCTCATCCCCATGTGGTCACTCCCCACAGTGAGATGGGGGAGAGAATTGGAAATTTAAAAATGTGAAAATTCATGAGTTGAGATAAAAAGAATTTAACTGGTAAAAGAAAAGATACACATGCAAGCAAAGCAAAACAAGGAATGCTTTTACCACTTCCCATGGGCCGGTAGGTGTTCATCCATCTTCAGGAAAGCCAAGCTCTATCACACATAGCTGTGACTTGGGAAGACAAATGCCGTAACTCTGAACATCCCACTCTTCCTCCTTATTTCTCACAGCTTTTATTGCTGAGCATGATGTTATTGGACATCCCTTTGGTTAGTTAGAGTCAGATGTCCCACCTGCATTCCCTCCCAACCTTTCAAGCACACCAGCCTGCTTGCTTTCAGGGCAGCATGACAAGCATTTGACAGACATTTGACACATGGTGCTATATAAGCGCTTCTACAAAACAAATTAGCTCTGTCCAAGCCCAAACCAGTACATGAACTAAGAGATACAGTCCTTCTGTGCATTGGCAAGCAAAGAATTGAGAAAAAAATAATAAAAAAGAAGAAAAGAGATTAATTTTCAGTGTAGTTTACCAGTGCTGCAACCCCACCAGAATACCTGCTGAGACTCAGTATATTCATCACAGATAGAAAAAAAAAGGTGAATAGTGAGGCTAAAGTTTGCACATGGAATACAATTTTATACAAATTGGTGATCACTGGCTTAAATCTGGATGCTGAAGTGAAGGAATATTTCATAATGCTGAATGATAGTACAGTAGAGGAAATTCAGAGTTAACAACTATGTAGTATAAGAAACAAGGATGAACAATGACATGGAACAGGGCACAGATTTCATTTGGAAATCTCAGGAAAAAAAGCTGATAGGGTATGAGAATTCTGTGCAAAAAGAACAGAGTGGAAACTGAGTATCAAATTATTACATTTCTGTTATAATTAAAGCAACAACAAAAATAGATGGCTGAAATTACCAAGCAATAAATTTATAGCAAACAAAATTTGTTAACTCATATATGATGTATAATTACACTGTGGAACTCATGAATGCCAAATGTTGCAGACAATAGAACTGTAAAGAGACTTTTGAAAGGACTAGGAAATTCAGAGAAAAGGACTCATTGTTATTTATTTAAAAACATGGTAAGGTATAATCTTTATTTCAAGAGGCGTTTTACACTTTGATTGTTGTAGCTGGAAGACTTTGTCACAAAACGTGATTTCATCAGTTACTGAGAATGTCTGTGAACTATAACTGTATCTGCTGGGGTTGTTAGTATCTTTTATTTTAGTTTCTCCTTCAGATTATTAACAAAAAATAACTAACTAGATGAAATGAATCTTTATTGTGAGCCAGGAGAGCATTTGTTCTGTATTTAGAGAAGGAAAGAATGGAAGGAAAATAGGAAGCACAACAATTCTTGTTGACAATATTAGAAAGCATCTATCTGACAACCCTTTTAGTGAAGAAATTTTTCCTAATATCTAATCTAAACCTCCTTTAGCACAACTTGACACCTTTTGCTCTTGTCCTGTTGCTTTTTACCTGTGAGAAGAGACTGACATCTACTTCTCTACATCCTCCTTTCAAGTAATTGTAGAGAGCAATAAGGTCCTCCTAATCCTCCTGTTCTTCAGGCTAAACAATCCCAGGTGCCTCAGCTACTCCTCATGTGTGCTCCACATACTTTACCACCTCTGTTGCCCTGCTCTGGACATGCTCCAGCACCTCAATTTCTTTCCTGTATTAAGGGGCCTAAAACTGAACACGTGATTTGAGGCATGGCCTCATAAGTGCCAAGTACAGAGGGACAATCACTGCCCTGGTCCTGCTGGCCAAACTACTTTTGATACAGGCCAGGATGCCATTGGCTTTATTGGCTGCCTGGGCACACTGTTGCCTCATGTGCAGTGACTGTCCACCAGCATCATCAAGTCCTTTTCCTCCAGGTAGCCAACAAAATCTGGATTTTGTGGGTTAAAACCAATAGTTTGTCTGTATAATTGTATTTATTGCATTATTTTTATTAAATTGTAACTCTGACTTATAATCTCTTTAGAGTTGGGTTCATTTCTCCTGCCGGTTTACCTTTAAACCGGCACATTATGTCATAGTTTTCCTGCTGCGCATGACAATATCAGAATAGGAAAAAATATGAGAATCCCCATTCATCCTGACATGGTTCTAGAATCTGCTCTTCACATTATAAATTAGCAGTTGTTCATCTAACGAGTCAGATTCAGATTTAGGATATTTTCTATCAGGGAAGTATTTTATATTTATATTTATTTATTTAAGAATATAAAGTTAGATCAAATTGTGTATTGTCTTCAGAGACTAGACCTACAACAAGACCAGAGAGAAAATAAGTAAAGAGACAGAACAATCTGAGCAAGAGAAAGGGACAAGTGTAAGTGCTACACTAGCACAAGTGCAAGAGGGAAAATATCTTGCATGAGATGTCTAATCTCAGTTAATAAAAACCCATTTTAGTAAAAATGAATAGATTATACTTAATTGTTTGTGTGTAGCAGTATGAAAGGGTAAAGACTTTTCCAGACTAATAATTTCTTCTGTTTTTTTTCCTCTGCTACTTTTTCAAGAACTTAGGTAACACGTTATTCTATATATAGGATCATTGTAACTAAATCGGAGTCCAAATATACGCACAAATTTCCCAGTCTTCCAGAACGTTTGGTTCCCTGTAGAAGATCAAAAGTTTGGCAACTGAAGATGCTGTCAGAAATATGGTCATTGTTATTGATGGGTAGTTCAACTGTATTCAGAACAAAGAGGTATCACTATGTTGCCTTACTTGAAACTCAGAGGATAAATCAAAATCTCCTGAATCCAGGGAAAAATTAAATTGAACTTTGGTTTACACTGGACAAATCACCCAAAATGTCACCACAGCACTAAGCTGACTCTTAAACATGGCTCTGAATTTGGACCACACAATCAATTATTCCTTTCAGTTTCATCAGCATTAAATTTGAAATTTCACTGAGTTGAATTCTATAGCCATCTAACCTGTTTTATTCTCTGTATGAATGAAATCCAAATAGTTGATACAAGTGACATTGGCAGTGAGGAACTATTGATATTCAGAGACGGTGCTTAACTAATAACAGTTCTTGTCATAACCCCAAGGAAAAGTCTAGGAAGAGAATTGTGTTCTGTTGAAACTGTGATTGGAAGGATTATTCAAGACTAAAATTACAAGTAGGATACTAGCTATATTTGTAGCTTAAACCCTAGATATAATAAATCTTTTTGGCCCTAAATTTCTTCTAGGAAAGTCTCAAAAGTCTTAATACTTCTCTCCCTGGTAAGTTAACACTGCCGAGCTGTGTCAAACCCTGAGGTGGATTCTTTGCCAGCCATCAGGTTGGTGTGATCTAAACATAGATCATAATCAGAAAACTTGCAAAGAGAGAGGGAGTAGTGGAAAATTCATTCCCTATTTTGTCAGAAAAAATCATTCAGGCTTTCAGTAGTGATAAACTCTCACAAGAACCTCTTCTACATGTTGAAGCAAGTGTCTTGACCAGGTTCTGGAGAAAGAACTCATTATTGTGAATCCCTGAAAGTGCTTTCCAGTCCGTCGTTTAGGCTGAAATCATAGGAACCATGGAATCATTGGAAGAAACCTCAAAGATCGTCCACAGGGGTACACTGGCTCATGGTCAGCTTGCTGTCTACCAGGACCCACAGGTCCTGCTTATGTTGGCTCCCAGCCTGTACAGGTACCTGGGGTTATTCTTGAGCAGGTGCAGGACCCTGTATTTGCCTTTGCTGAATTTCAGACTATTCTTCTCCGCCTAGCTCTCCAACCTGTCAAGGTCCTTCTGAAGGGCTGCACAGCCCCCTGGGGTGTGCAGGCCACTCCTCCCAGCTTTGTGTTTTTCACAAACTCACTGAGGAGGCTTCTGCCACTTCATCTAAATCATTGATGAATAAGTTAAACAATACTGGGCCCAGTACTGAACCTTTTCCTAATGGAATAGAAGTTTTCCTCGTGGATAGAAGTCCTAGTAGTAAGGGTAAGAAAGCTGCAGATAAGTAAATATTTGTAAAGGAAACTGCCTTTTTTTTAATTTGTTGAAGTTAATAATTTTTATATATTTCAGACCTTACATAACAATTAAATCTTCTGAATAAATTGTTTCCTTCATAATGGTTTATTTTTTCCCAATGGCCTTTGATTGATGGCTTTTTTTCTAACAACTTTAGATGACTCAAAACCTGAATATAGATTTTGGAGAAGTGAGTAAATTGTGCCACTGATTTTCCTCTATGTTTCTCAACTTGAATTTTTTTCTTTTTTGCTAAAAAACCTGAGTCTGACTTTTTACAGCTCAAGGGTTCACAAAATACTAAATGTTTTCTTTTCTACTTAAAAAAACCCCCAGATTATTACTACTGATCAGGTATGTTTAGGGACTCACAACTATTTCATTGACACTGATGCTTAGTATTTAACAAGGACTGTGTAGGTAAGGTTCTCAGAGCGCTAAAGCATCCAGCCCCCTACAAAAATAGAAATTGATATTTGATTTTCTTCAGTTCAAGCTATTAATTTGGCTTATTAATGAGTGAGTGAGAGAAGTAAAGGGTAATGACTGCATTCTCTTTATCACTGATTACTAATTGTCCATAAGAAAGGACCTGAAATCTCAGAAACCAGAATTAGCCTGATTTAAAGAATCAGGAAGATTCAAAGGCTGCATAGTAAATGCTAAGCATAACATACCTCAGGGAATCATCAGCCTAAACAGGCAGACTTGTACTCGTGCTAAAAACTCAGCACATGCTTAAATTCTGTGGTGACTTGAGACCTCATTAATTTACTGCAAATTGCATATCAGAGCTGAAATAAAATGAGAAAATGAAATCAGAATCAGTACCAGTTAATAAATTAACAAAACCAGCATGAATTTATTCATTGTTTGTAGTTTCCTTGGCACTGTATAGAATTAATGTGTTGTGTATGTGCTGTTCTACATTGCAGATTTTCAAGGGCACTTCTGAATTCAGTCACATCATTATAGCTTGGAAAGCAAACTGGAAACATTTCCCATTCAACAAATTAATTCGCAAAATAAATTGTTTCCTCACCATTACAAGGAGTCTCAAAGAGCTTGTTATAAATGTTCTGTAAGCAACAATGGCAGCAAATAAAACATCATATATTTAACTCATTCTATTCTGCCTATTGCGTATGCCAAACAATATACTGAGATAAAAACAAACCTCTGATTTATCAACACCCTAACAAAGCAGATTGTCTTTTTGTGTCTGAAAACACAGAATCAACAGTTATACCAGTGTGTATGGGGCTTGGTTTTGGAACTTGGAAAGATCATTAGTTATACCATTAAAAAATCAGTAGCATTTTTACGAGCAGAAAATAAAATTCAAGTCTTTGAAAAATAATGGGAAAAAATATATTCTAGCTAATCAAATCACAGAAGCAGACCAACATTCTAATATGAATGTGACTCTTTAATTCTGAGCTAACTTCCATAAAACCTATTATTCAAAAAAGGCTGATGTAAATTGAATAAAAATTAAATAAAAAAACATAAATTAAACCGTATCACCTATTTAGGGTTAATGTTTAGCTTTGGTGACTGGTATAGAGCTAGAGATATCAACTTACAGATGAAGAACCAAAATTTTATTTCACCTAGATTATGCTAAATTACATTAAATTTTACTTTGTATGGCTTATACAGGTGATGCTTCCCTTAATCAAGTCTGTGTGCAAGTGTGTACAGTGTGCATAGATATGCACAAAACTTTCAAAGGGACAGATGTATGGTACTAAATTTTCCTTCCCTAAGAGCCTGTAAAGCAGTAGCTGTGCAAGTAAACTAGTTCTGTAAAAGCTAATACAAATCAGTCTGTACAGAGATACTCAATTTTTATGATGACAAAGTATAAAGTGCCTGCATAGAGCCCTAAATAGGCACCCCCATGTGTAATTCTCCTGTTCGGCTGCACTTCTAAAATACAATTAGTATCCCACATATTATCCTGTGGTTTAGCTGGCAGCCTTTCACAGTTCTTTCTTAGAACATTTATAATAGCTCTTAAAATCAATATTGGTTGTCTGAAACACTTTTTAAAGTGTCATGCAAAAGTGACAAACACTGTGTGGATCTGCAAAGAAGACGACTTTAGGACTGGACAATAGGCTGGGTTTGATGTTTGGAGGAAGAAAATGGCAATATGGATGAAAAGCATAGGAAGAAATGTAGAGTGCTGGAGGTGGGTAACGAAACGGACTTCTTGTCCTGTGTGGTTGCCAGTAGATGCTCTGTGGCTCTGAAAACTGCTACCCACCAAGAGAAGGAAGTGCAAAGGTCAGTATAGAAATTAGTATTATTCTATTACTGCTTACCAGACTAGAAAAACATATATAACTTTCAAAAAAAGTTTCTTTTAACAAATATTTGTTTCTTTAGCGTATGGGTGGCTCTGCTACAGAGATTTTGGCATTGCTGGTTGGAATAATTTAGAATGGAGTTGGCAGGGAAAATCTCAGTACCAAATTTAGTGCCTTAATTTCCTGTGGCATGCATGGGACAATGCTCACATCTGAAAAGCTGGTTTACAAAAACAGGGTTAGTATGAGTTTTTTGCACTGATGCAAGCAGATAAGAGATTATTCTTCTTCTTTCAGCAACAGATCAGTATAACAGCACAATTCTTAGAGTTATAACAAATATCT